TTCTACGAGCGTGGAATTTTCAAGTTGTCGGAGAGACGGCAAAAGGTCGTCGAACAAAATGGAAAATACATTACAGATTAAACTTCATTGCAAGTAAAACAAATTTTTTATTTCATTGAACAAATCGGCGATTACTTAGTTGCCAACCCAATATGATAGAGACGCTGCTCGTTCTGTCTTCGTCCCTTTTCGCACGGCGATCCCGACGCACAGTGGGCCGGATCGAAGATTTTAGTGACTTTTTGACAAAAACCTAATTTTCTCATATCGATGTCCAGTGAATAGTGGAAATATTAATGAAAATGATTATAAATTGTAACAGATGCGACAATTTAAAGTTGAACATTTCGAACGCTACATTCGACGCCAAAACATATGCTACTTTTCCTCGCAATGTCCCGACGAACCTAATTGATTTTTTCCTTTGCTTTCTATTTTAACATTAGGAGGCGATATTTCTCGTTAGGAAACAGTAGCTTAAATTACGATTATCGTATCCTATATATGAAAAATATAATGTTTAATAAAATAGAAAAAGTGTAAAAATTCTTTACATTCGACAAGGAACATCTTTTGACACCCAAGAAATCACGGTTTCGGACAAACGGTATATTTTCAGGATACTTTCCTCTACGTAATTCTGTAAAAGTTACATACCAAGACGAACCGGATTGCAAATTATTACGATAATCTCTCCGTGTTCCAGTCGGTATTACAAAACGCTTCTTCGTCTGTAAATCGACAGATATTTAAAATTTTTAATTATTCCATACAACATGAAGAATATAAGTAAACGAATATAAGTAAACTTTGTAAAACATTATATTTAAACAATCTTTTTTTACAAAAAGTGTCAATGAAAATTAATTAAAAATTATTGTTTAACAAGTGCAAAGAAAATTTAATTATCTATAGCTGAAAACAACTATTTTTTAAAATAGTTACATTTTTGGTGAAAATTTCATTGCAACATCTTCGATGGTTCAAAAGAGTTATAACAGAGTGTCACTGAATTTCTCGAGCCAGCCCACTGTGCGACGGTTCGAGCTTGTTGCGCCTTTAAGAAATTACAGCTCGCCGATCTTTCGCTTCGCTTTTGAGACAAAAAGGGTCGATAAACGATCGGTTCGAATCGCGAACGCTTTGCTCGACGAGCGGGAGATAATATTGTTGCAACGGGGAACAATGGAGAACGCAATAGCGTTCGCATCCAGCGCGGATTCTATGACACAATAACGCGAAAGAATTATTCGTTGGATTAACCCGTTCACGCTGCCGGCTGCGTGCGTTACGGGCACACTAAACGAACAAAGGAGAGCTTTCGAGCGTGTTAACTTTATTACATTCGAAACTGTTTCGTTTCCTATGGATGAGAGAGAGAGAGAGAGAGAGAGAGAGAGAGCTCTTCGACAACGAGGCGGTTGAACGACGTCGATTTTCTTTTCGCGATCGTGCTCGAACGAGTTGAACGGTTGATTCTGCGGGAACATTTGCAGTTTCCGAGCGGCGACAGTGAACAGGAACAGCGAGTTGAATCGTTATGTCAAGGTTGATCCGGTGTAGCGCAAATTTTTCGTGCTAGTATGAAGGGAAAATTAATAAATTAACTAATTCGATCCTTTACACTCGAGCGGCGACTCTGAGGCGCCATCGAAAATTGCTTTGTAACGTTTCAAATTGATTTTAACGTCGTCGAATTTGTCTATATTCGAATTTTGTGGCTCGAGCAACAGTTAGACTTCTCGATGCTTTTTTAAGTTTTTAACAAATTCGATGATGCTTAAAAGAAAAACATTGCGAAGCGCAACTGTTGCTCGAGTCACAAAATTCTCGCAATAACTCGAGGAACAGTTGCACTTCGCAATGTTTTTCTTTTAAGCATCATCGAATTTTCAACTACAATTTCGCAGTATTAACCCTTTGCACCCGAAGCAATCTTAATTCGAAATCTAAAATAGTTTCTCTGTCTCATAGAATTTTCATTTAACATAACTTACCGCATTTTATGCGTACAATATCGAATTCTGCGACTCGAGCAACAGTTACACTTCGCAATGCTGTTTTAAATACAATTATTTAGTTAGTAATTATTTAAGTATAAACAAATGTGTAATATAATATAAAAATATGTATAATATATAATAAACATAATAATATAATAATAATATAATAAACAGTATGTAAAATAATAATATATAAATAAATGTATATATAGTAAACAAATATGTCAATAGAAAATATTTTAACAGAGTAGTGCACACATTGCACAGCAGCGAATTTTTTATACCCGATCCACTGCGCCCGATCTCTGTTATTTTGACTGTTCCGCCAAATCGTATGCCAATTTCAAAAATGCAACCTTACTCGATGGTATCTTGGCATCTTGACCTTTCGCATAGGAAAGCTATCGGCATTCCAATTTCTTGGCGAAAGCTTCTCAAATCTATCAATTCGCCGTGTCAAATCTACGGTCTTACCTGCCCGAATTGTTTTACATCGATCTCCTAAAGTACGTCTTAGCAGACGGAAAGCTACGACGACCTGTTTTTGGCACATTCTGTTCTCAAACAGCCGTTTCGTAGCTGCATTCGCACCTTCCTTCGTCACTTTTGACTTCTTCGTTAACTTTTTCGTTAAAGAACGAAATTAATAAGTAATTTCGAAAGTAATTTTCGTTCCGTTTTGTCAGTAGTATATATCATAATACAGAGTGTTCCAAAAATGTCTCGCAATCCGAAAATGGCGGGTTCCTCGGGTCGTTCGAAGCAACTTTTTCCTTTACAAAAATTTTCTCCGAGGCACCGTTAACGAGTAATCAACGAAAAACAGTGACCAATGAGAGGCGAGCTCGGCTGGCGCGAGGCGACCGAGCCAACGAGCGGAACTGGGCTTCGCGCGCTGGTTGGCTGGGCCGCCTCGCGTCAGCCGTACTCGATTCTTATTGGTCACTGTTTTTCGTTAATAACTCGTTAACGGTGCCTCGGAGAACATTTTTGTAAAGGAAGAAGCTGCTTCAAATGATCCGAGGAACTCGCCATTTCCGGATTGCGAGACATTTTTGGGGCACCCTGTATATTATCGTGTTCCCCATCTCTATATAAGCAAAGAATATCTTTATATTATAATTTTGCGATTTTTTAAACTCATAATACACATTTCTCAAAATCCTTTATTGCGTTCTGCGGATATTGCCAACACCGAACGAATTCTAATTAAAATTCGCCGGAGTTAATTTTCGATATTTTCCACCATGAAAACGAGGAACCTCCGGAGACCTTACTGCAAAAAAATACGACATATTTGACCTATTTTACAAACGAATCAGCGGCCGGGAAAAAGATATCAAGTTTCGAATGTAATACGAACAAAACGAACAGTCCACGCACTGAACGAAATCAATGTTTCCCCGGTTCTTATTTTTATAAAATGTACGTAGGAATTTGCATAAAAATCGCAGTCCGGTTATCCGGCTTTCGCAACTATTTTCATTCCGTTGCCTGTGCCGAACAAAGGGCTTTTTCATCGCTGATATCGTTCTCTCGGAGAGAGAAAAACGTATATCGACGTAGCAACGGGTTCCCTGCGATCGTCAAGTTGACGCATCAAATTGCAACATAGTATAAAGAAAATCGCGCGTACTGCAGTACCAAGAAAGAAAATGTGAAAGTGCATCGGGTCAGAGGGATATGGAGGAATCGTCGCGATGAACTTTAACTTTTCAGACGTTGTTCCATTAAATAAATTCCTATGATTTCGTGTTCGCTTCGGACGAGAGTTTACTCTTTGCCCTATAACATCCCGTTCCCCTTGTTACGAAGATTAAATTACGGTTCAGTTAATTTATCCGCATGTCGAAACAAAATTGAAGTTCCTGTTGTCGGTGCTCGGTGATCAGAGCGCGTTTACGTTCGGGGTTAATTGTTTTATTCTCGGCGACAAAGAAGAGCTACAGTAATGTCTCTCCGATTGACGCTCAGATTATCCATAAGAATGGATAATTTTGAAAGAGGAGATACGATTGTTCGAGCCTTGTGGCTCTTTTGTTATGGTTGTCGATTGCCAACGACTATGAAAACGAGCTGCAAGGCTCGAATAATCGTATCTTCTCTTCCCAAATTGTCCATTTTGGTTCACAATCTGAGCGTCAATTAGGTACAATTATTACTGTCATTATTACTGTAATCGGTGTAGCCGCGAATGAGATCGTAAGGAGCTAAAAAACATTCATTCTGAACGATAGTAATTTGTACGCACAGTTTGAACCGGAAGAACTATTTAGAGAATTCAGGAGTGCCTATACCAGTGCTCGGAACGCTTCGGAACGTAACATTGGGCTCCACCTCCTGACTGCCGCCGCAGAGTTGCCGACTGCGGTGGTAAGTCGATGGAGGCACGCGGGGAGCGAGAGGCTGCGGCGGCAGTCAGGAGGCGGAGTCCAATGTTGCGTGCCGAAGTGTTCCGAGCACTTATCTATGCATTATATTCTATATATATAAAAATTATTATAAATCAGATAGGATTCTCAAGTGGATTTTCAGGTATATATATGCAAAATATATATGATATATATAGTGTAAAATATATATGTATTTTTTGCATGTATATTTTGCACGATGTGTATTTATTATATATATTTTGCATGTATATTTTGCAGTACATATATTTATTATATATATTTTGCATGTATATTTTGCACTACATATACTTATTATTATATATTTTGCGTGCATATTTTGCACTATATATATTACATTTATTTTGCATTATTTTTTGCATGTATATTTTGCACGTACATTTTGCATACATATTTCGCACTATACATGCTATATATATTTTCTATTATTTTTTGCACGTATATTTTGCACTATATATATACCGTATGAAACAGGAGTCACTCGAGAATCCTGTCTGATTCCTAATAATTTTTGTAAATCGAGAATAACGTGCATATCATTTTGCGTAAAGATCCGCTGTCCATTCGATTCTGTCGAATGTCTTACCTTTGCTGGTGAGACTGAAGCTTCTGAGCCTGTAACTGTCCTCGTCCTCGCCGTCTTCCCTCGACGACATCTGGGACGAGGTGTCAGGAACGTCTAAAAATGCATTGCTCTTCCTGTGATGAGTGTGGTGCATGCTCTGTCCCCTTCGACTTCCTCTTCTTCTGAGGCCGGGGCTGATGTCATTGTCCGTCAATCTCGGCTCGCTGCTGCAGTGGGCAGACTTCACCGTGCCTTGGTGGTGTTGTGCAGCTGAAATCGAAAGCCGAGCCGAGTGAAAAATCGTTCAGAGAATACATCCAGAGTATTATAAAATAAAATATATATATTTTATTTATATGTATATATATTATTATTTATATATACTTTTGTTGTTATATATATTATTATTTATATATTTTTTGTTATTATATATATTATTATTTATATATTATTATTTATATATATATATATATATATATATATATATATATATATATATCTGTGTGT